TCTTCCCTCTTCTTTGAAAGTGGAAAGGTTGGTGTCACAAGATGTTAACTTCTTTACAGCAAAATGATGACATACCATCCAAGAAAAGCAAAGCCAAAACAGATATCCTCTTCCCCCAGAACTCTCTCCATATTGTCAGGTTTATATGTGGTTTTGGAATAGGATTTTATGGGCACCTTCAGGCTGTCTGACTCAGTGGGCTGGTGACAGGTTGGGGACTTCCAGACAAGATGGTGCCACTTAGAACACTTTGCCTTAGCAGACTCCTTTGCCTTTTCTGATATTTGGCTGATGTTGTCTTGAGGAACTTCTCAGATGAGCTCCCACTTCCTGCAGGGGTGACATCTCCCATACCTTGCTCCTGTGGGGCCTAAACATAACTGAGCAAATGTTCCTTGTTCTGAAATGCCTTCACAAAAGTCCATAAAAATGCATTTCCAACCAAGAGGCTTGAGCAACTTTGTAACAGGAGCTCCCCCAAGGCCTTACCAATGACAACCTGAGAGCTGGTGTGCAGGGTTTCAGAGCACTGACATCTTATCTACCCAGAGAAGGGCTCTCACCACACCCCTTCACAGGCATCAACACCCAATGGGTATTCATGGCCAAGCATAGTTGATACAGTAAGCTGTAAACTTCCAGGGATATGGCTGGGCCAAGTGCTGGACCCCACTGAGCAAGACAGTTACACAGAGCAACACCAGGAAGATGCAGTGAAGATAAAGCATCAAAAAATATAAGAAGAAAAAGAGAGAACACTTCCCGTCTCATCCTACAAAGCCAGGATCACCCTGACACCAAACCCAAAAAGACATCACAAGAAAAGAAAACTACAGACCAATATCTTTTGTGAGTATAGATACAGAATTGCTCAACTGAATACCAGCAAATCGAATCCAGCAACATATAAAAATCACCAAGCGAGATTTATCTCAGGAATGCAAGATGGATTTAAGATATGAAAATCAATCAATGTATGACGCCATATTAATAAAGGACAAAAACCACATGATCATCTCAAAAGACACAGAAAAAAACAGTCAACAAACCTGGAACAGAAGGGACCTCCCCCAAACTGATAAAGACCCTCTGTGATGAACCCTTGGCTACTACACTCAGCGGTAAGAGACTGAAAGCTTTCCCTTGATCAGGAACAACATCAGGATGTCCTCTCTCACCACTTGTACTCAACATTTTACTAGAGGCTCGGGCCATGGCAATTAGGTGAGAACATGAAATAAAAGGAATCCAGGTTGGAAAGGAAGAAGTAAAACTATCTCTAGCCTCAGATGACATGAGCTTATGTGGAGAAAATCCTAAGGAATCTGCACAAAAAATATTAGAACTAATAAACAAGTTCAGCAAAGGTGCAGGATACAAGATCAACATACAAAAATCAATTGTATTTCTATACACTAGCAATGAACGGTCCAGAAATGAAATTAAGAAATCAAATCTGTCTACATAGCATCAAAAAGAATAAATTTATGTATAAACATACTTATAATAAATTTAACAAAA